CTGTTAAGATGAACTTAACCCCGCTGTTGTGTTTAGAAAACTGCTGCATATCCACCAAATCTGCCTGCCATTGTGCATCAATATCTGAAACAACAGTCTTGTTTCTTTTAAAATGTCTTCTTGCCGGTTTGTGCAGGGTATAAGCATCCTGGTCTGAAAGCCAGGCGGTCACCCCACTTCTGTTCAGGAACTTATTCTGCCTTTTGGTAGCTTCAAAAAACGCGTTCACCCCAGCAAAACTGCCAGCTTCACCAGGAGAGTAATAAACTTCCTTTAACATAGCCTCCTATGTAGACATGTCTGTTAACAGTTCCCCCCTACACTTACCCCCACGCTAACATCCATGTGGTGCATTCAAACACTTGTGGACAAATTCAAACCACAGCACAAAGACACCATCTTCCAAATTCTCAAATTCTGTTTAGTGGTCAGGGACCTGATAGGCCATAACAGCACCATGTGATCTAGGGCGGATCTTGCAGCATGAAGGGTTGGGCTTTGAGGGTCTGCCTGGGTTGTCCTTCTGATGTCATGAACCATGTGGTGTTGGTGTCACACACCACGTGATTGGGGTCGGGGGTGGAGTTGCTGATGTCACGCACCATGTGTCCGGGGTCAGGGGCGGAGTTGCTGATGTCACGCACCATGTGACCAGGGTCAGGGGCGGAGTTGCTGATGTCATGCACCACATGACCGGGGATCAGGGGGTGGGGTTGGTGATGTCACACACCATAAAAGGGGAAGGGGGCGGAGCGAAGGGGGTGGGACTTCCGGTCCCGCCCACCTGTCACATTTGCATTGAAGGACGGAGAGCCATATACTACTAAAATGACCCAGAATGTTTAGTTTTTAACATTGTTTTGTTAACATATTTTATTGGAGTAACTTTATAGTTGGAAGAGGTGTTAGACAAAATGCTTTTCCTGAGGTGTTTTTTAATAAGAAACTTTTAATTATTTATCTTGAGAAGCCTTGTCAAAAAGTGAAATTGTGACTATTTATTTTCATCTGCTGTTTTAGATTCAATGTCCTGGATTGCGTTGCTTTATTTTGCTGAAGTATGCTTCAGTAACGTTGTATGATTCTTATTCTTACAGGATCCTCATGAAATGAGATGCGTAACATGTGAAGCTATCGTGGTGAGTAAAATATTAAAAAAATATCAACTCTTGCTCTTCTTCCTGAAGAGGCTTCTTATACAAAATGGAAAGAAAAGTGTCTGAACTGTTTTAGACACAATTTTGGGGGGACAAGTTGTAAGATATTTGCAAGTATGATAAGAACATTATTACCTGGATTCCTTGATGAGCATTACTATTAGCATTGTGTAAAACTGTCAGTTGAGGCTATCCAAAAATGAAGCCTACAGGATTATCATGTCCCAGAAATATTATGTAGCATTATTCTAACAATATTTTATACAGTGTAATTTTTAAGGAACTTCACAAAATTTCATGAAAAGTCAATCAAAGCTGCTGTTTAAGATTTGTGGAATTGTTGTCTCTCAGAATATAACAAGCATCTATTTTTAGAGGCTAAAACAAATTAAGCCTTAAAGTAGAACCAAAAGAAGTAATGTATTTTTGTGCCATGGAGTAAATAAAGTATAAATCATGCATAACTAATACCTTATGAAACTAAAATGATGATTGCACAAGTGCATCGAATATTAAACAATTTCTCTTCCAGTAGATGTAATTCATCATTGGTTTTTCTTGACACTCACTCTTTGATAAGAATTGATTTAAGCAATCCAGTCCAATGCTAGCTGAGTAGCACAGCACTTTTTTTTTTTAGCATTCTTATGGGAAAAAAAATGTTTATGACATGTGACTTAGCTACTGTAAGCAAGGTTATAGTTTAGAACCTAGAATTCCATGATGGTGGCAGCATCTCTAACTTATTTTTAGGAGCTGGGTTGCAAACAGCAGTCACTTAACTTTATATTTAAGATGTCTGCTCCATATTTGAAGACTCCTATTGAAGTCCGGTGCAGAAAGTTAAGCATGTGCTTAAATGGCATGCTGAATCAAGGTTACGTATACATGATACCAACAAGCAGGCAGAAGACGTTACAAATTCATACTTTGGATAAACATACTCTATACCTCAGAGTCTAGCCTCTCATTAGGTGAGTCCTAATATCACCTGTCATAAAAAGAACAGCATTTCTGTTATACAAACAAAGCATTCTTATGTTAGAAAAATGGTGATCAGTATCAGAAAACTAGATTTTATTCTGTATTTTCAGATGTTTACTGGGATAGCACTGTTTTATTTACATACTTTCCTACACATTTTATTATGTAAATTCACAAACTATGATTGAATTTTTTTTTGATGATGCATGAAGAGCTGGCTGGTCCCATGTTACTGTGTCTTTATTCTGTTTTTGAAAAAACAAAAAAAGAGGTGGAATTAGACATCAACAATGACAAAATAGGAAATAGTGACCAAAAAAAGACAGAGCATTAAACCAGTACTCTACTAATGTCTCACTTAAACTCTATTTTTAGAAAGTAAGTAGCCTTGAGTGGTGTATATAAGCCTTGTGTTGGGCTCTTGCACAGAGCTAGACTTGATCTACTGTAATTAATTTCTTTCTAAAGCACAGTGTATTCTATCAGACTAAACCTGCTTTTCTAATACCCTTTTCTAAGCAAGCTACTGCTGTAGCTAATACAGATATGTCATGCAGCTATGAATGGGAAGGGATCAAAATATGGTACACACTAGGAAAGAATTTCAGAACCCCCATACTTGGGGTTATGCTGGACAACTATTTATTACCTGAATCCAAGGAGATCAAACTTCAATTTCTTACTACTGTTTGTGTGTGTGTGTGTTTTTCAGGTTCACCATGGACTCAAGCCTTAAGAGAAATATAGTCCTTAAAGATAAATTGTACTGAACAGCTCTGCCTACCACACTAGTTAGTTGCTCAGGCCTAGATAATCCATTCCCACTGTATGACCTGTAACAAAGAGGGAAGGTATGGTGGAAACTCCTCAAGGTTTGTTGTACAGCGTTTTTTCTGTGTCCTATCCTCAACACAGAAGAATTTCTGATCTTCCACAGAAGAAAAGTGACATTGCCTAAAGTCTCTCTAGTACTTGAGGCTCTGGGGGGGGGAAATATTCCTAAATGGAAAACCCAGATTTACACACTATGGACTGCTCCACACATGCAGGTAAGGTGCAATAGTATCTAATGCATGATCCATGCAATCACATCTCCTGCCATGCCACATCCTTCCTTGAGGGATGACCTTGTCCTCAAATCCAAGGGGACATGCCAGTCTTGTGGAGCTAGGAGACCAAATCGCTGGGCTCGTCTCCAGGTTGAGTGTCCTTTATGTTGGCTGTGGGGAGTCCTTTGCTGGTCACAGCGCTCTACATGCATAGGCCAAAAGATACAACCTGATGGTGAACCTGACCACATTCCGGGTGTGGTATTATACCTGTAAGAAAGAGGTATTCTTGGACCAGAGGCTTGCAACACATGCTCACTGCTGACTATGCTCCCTCCCCACTGTCAAAGTTCAACTCAGGAGGTGTGATTGTGAGATTTGTGCATTAGATCCTCTCATGCCTCATTGCCTTATCCTAGGCTCTCCCTGCACCAGCAAGAACCAAGCTCCCATGGCTGGGAGCCCACTCAGTTGAGGATTTCCAGCCATGGGGGCAGCCCATGCACCCCTGGGGCTGGAAAAATTATAGCTGCTGTGATTCCCCCAGCCTTGGGAGTGCATGAAACCCTTGGGTCTGTGGGATCATGGCAGAAGGTGTTTCAGGCACCCCTGGGTCAGCTGTGCCCCCCAGCTCCTGGCACCCAATATTTGCAGCTGTGGGACTGTGGATGCTCATGCTTCTGGGACCTAGAGTTGGCAGCTGCTGCAGCTGAGAATCCCTTCAGTTGCTGGATTTCCAGCCCTGGCTGGGTATGGTGCACCCCTGCAGCTGGGAGCCCAGTGATCTGAAAGGGATCCCAGCCACAGGGTGACCCTTCTACACATGAAAATTAAAACTGCATAGCAACCAGCTATAAAGTTAGTACACATTTCTTAGATTTAACTTTGTAGCTATTTGGAGCTTTTTATGGTGTGATAGCTACTTTACACATGTAGCTGATCCAGGTAATTGTGCAATTAACCATGTATTACACAATACCTGTTACATGTAGGGAAGCCTATAAAACAAAGCAGTGGCATAACCGGGTGGTGGGTGGGGCTGATGGGGGAAACTACCCTGGGCACCACCTTGAGAGTGGGCCAAAAAAAAAATGGCTGCAGTTGGCAGCCATGTGTTCTCAATCATGAACCAGAAGTTGCTTCTTCTGCTTTGCTTGGGGCACCTGGCTGCACCCTTACACTGCTGAAGCAGAGATCTGGCCCTTGTTCTGTGGTCTCTCCACCTCTGTGGGCCACAAAACTCTTGTGCAAGCCATATAGCCATTATGGCCACATCTAGATGAGCACAGACATTTGTTTCTATGGGGACAAGTAGCAGAAGCACACCTTGTACTGCTGCTAATTGTTCCCAAGGAATGCCTGTGCCACATGTGTCCTGGCACATGGAAGGTTATCCTGGATGGGGTAGGGGAGGCTGGGGCCAGCAACTATGCTCTGTCTATGTGGGTCTGACCAGCCAGGCTCTGGTTTTCGGTGGTGCATGCTGCTGCCACGTGAGCTGCCCTGCTTTTTTTTGGTGTGGGTTTTTTTGACCTCAGGATCTCCCAGTATCAAGAAAACCTCTTGCACTGCAAGGTAGCAGCATGGGGAGTGCCTACATGTGCAGTGTGTGGCACCGCAGACGGGTCTGTGGTGCCACATACTGCACGTCCGCACTTGTCTGAATGCAACCTATTCATCTTTTGTTTCCATCCTTCTGCATCTCCTGTTCCCATTGATATGTGACCTCCATCATCAACTAAACTCCGTTTTTTAGTTTTACTTTAGAAGTGATTTGTCTGACTCTGTAAAACAGCATGCCACAGAAATGCTGCTCCCAACTTCCAGGCTCCGTATAGCCTATTCCTATGAATCTTTGCCTCTTTCTACTCGTGTGTGTATATATGGAACAATTTATACTCTCCGTCATTTAAAAATAAAATTTCCTTACAAATACAAAATACGAAGGGGAAAAGAACAGCAGTGCATTCAAGCGCAAAGTCTGCATTCTCACCTGAAGAGGGAAATTTTCCTTAATTGTACTGTAGGAAGATTGGATTTCTTTTCTGTTAAGTTGTCACTCAAATAGGTTGTTTAAGCCATTGATCTGACATAACAGCTTTTGGACATAAAAATCATAATCCTATTGATCCAGCTTCAGATCCAGGGTATAATAACAATATTTTTGAATGACTGCTTCAATAAAAAGAATGTTAAATTGAAGCAGTATTTTTTTTTCTTTTGGCTCCTGAACCATCAAAGCAATAAAAGTAAACCCCATGACTTGGGACCTGTAAAATTTCTGGAGTAACTTCTCCTTTGGGAACTGAGGGAGAGTGACAGTGGAAACAATAGAAAGCCCAGAACCCTGAGGTAAAAGAATACTTTACTGGCTGAAGTGTGAAATTTGTACAAATGGGGTGATGAGACTGAATAGATAACGGTGTACTTACTTTTCCCCAGATTCAAAATGTCCATCCACTAATTTGAAACTGAAATCACTACTTTGCTGGCTATAGAGGCAGTGGAGAAGAACACCTTTCATGATCTTTCATAGATGAGCCTACAAACTTTACTTCATAAATCTACTGGATACAAAAAAATCATGGACTCAATATAGACATTGCATTTATGACACCTTATAACCTGCCTGATATCTGATTCACCATGTACCTTCCCTGGCCCCTGTTTCCTCCCCTCCCCTCCTTTTCTACCCTTTGTCTTCCTAATTTCCAGCTATTTACTTTTTCACAGACTGCCTCTTTTCTACCTTGGAGAACTCATTTACAGTAGAGTTTCCCTTACTTACCTTTGGCATTATTTCCCCCTCATTTCAGCCTCCTCCAATCCCTTCTCTACCCTTTGCTTTCCTAATTTCCACCTATTTACATTGACCTCCTGTCACACTTTTAACTTCTTTCATTCCTTGGAAATCTCAGAACAGCAGAGACTCCCCATGCCTGAAGAAGG